ACCCTCTATTCCTCTCCATATCTTTCTATCCTTGCAAATCATCCTTGCTTCCACCATATCCATATACTTCTGGTTTTTAGACTTCTCATCTCTGTCTTTCTAAAGACCTCTTAAATCCATCCAGCCACAACTATTTGTACATGTGGTACATTACATATGTGGTGATATATTATTTGTTTACAATAAACTCTTTTTGAACATTTTCACAATCATAAAATGTAGGGACTGTTTATCTGGACCTGCATCTGAAATTGTGGTTGCTTATGCTGTGTAGATAAAAAGAATTATACATTTGTTTGTTTCTCAGTGATTGAATTTGCTTACAAGTCTGTTGGCACTACTCTTGAATTAGCTAATGGAAGGAGTGCATTGCAGTTGGTTTTTTCCTCAAGAGACAAATCTCATACGTTAAATTTGATTCAGAAGAGATTGATTTGGGGGAAGAATATATGTGTATAATGTTTCCCTTGCTTGCTATTTTTTTTCTTCTGAAATTCCTTCCTCTTGAGGCTTTTACTCTTTTGAGTTCCAGCCTATGTTTATTTTGCAAATGTGGGTCCAGGTATCCTGGGGATTAAGTTTAACTAGGATTGGAAGTTGTGCCGCAGTGGTTAAGTACTCTTTCCTTTCCACCCCCTCTCTCATGCAAATAACCCCTCCCATTCTGCGAAGAAGTCAGGTCTATAGATTTTCAGTAATATTTGTTGCTGTAGTGTAATATGTAATTCTCACCTTTGTAGTGGTATTTATCTATTTCACTGTTTCTTTCAATCAAGCAAATTTATATATCCATGTCACAAATGTGTCTCTCTTGGTAATTCATGGAAAATATGATGCTGCTTAAAAAATATTACAGGTAGTCCTTGACTTACAACAGTTCATTTTGTGATTGTTCAAAGTTACCAACAGCACTGAAAAAAGTGACTTATAACCATTTTTTGCACTTATGACTGTAACAGCATCCCCATGGTCATGTGTTCAAAATTCAGATGCTTGGCCATTGACTCATATTTATGATGGTTGCAGCTTCCTGGGGTCATGTGATCACCTTTTGCAACCTTCTGACAAGCAAAGTCAGTGGGGAAGCCAAATTCTCTTGACAACTGTGTTACTAATTTAACAACTGCAGAGATTCACTTAACAACTGTGGCAAGAAAGGTTGTAAAATGGGGCAAAACTCACTCAACAAATATTTCACTTAGCAACAGAAATTTTGGGCTCGGTTGTGGTCCTAGGCTGAGGACTACCAGTATTCTACCATACAGACTTTTTTAAAAAGTTGAAAAAACTGTAGGAGGGCACTAGTATGTATAAGCTTACTCCTTTGTTTAATGCTAATTTATACAAATTTCAGAAATGTGGCTGCAAATTTTTCTGGCACTCCAACAGGACAAAAAATATGATTAGTATATAAACAACAGCAATAAATGAATATTTGGACTGCCTTCCCTTCTTTAGTATACCCCCTTGCCTAATTGGTTAATGTATCTATCTCAGACCTGGATTCACAGCCTCTAAAATGGGCTAATTCCATTTGCCTCATTTCAGATTCACCTTATGATCTTTGCATTAGAGGAGGGTAACCTTTTTTCATGGCAAGAAGTCCCATTGGGGATTTGAGTAGGATGCCAGTGGCCCTGTTCTAAAATGTAGTGAGTTTATAAAAAAAAAAAAAAAAGAATTTCATTTTTCATCATGAACTGGTGTTAAGTTTAAAATGGGTATTTCATTCTGTCCCCATGTGTCTCATTAAAAATGACAATACAGTGACAACTCCTGGAGATCTCTGAGAATGAGGTGTAGTTCTTTCCTAGTAGGTCTGTTCTTGTCTGTTCCAGTTTGTTGTTTCTGAATTGTGTGAATTTCAAACGTGTTTCTTGATGGCAACTGCTTCTTGTTTCGATACATTTGGAAGTTGTTCCTTGTGCTTTTCCAGAAAGGATACCTGCTTCACTTTTGCCTTTGCTTAATTCTTGCTAGCATAAAGCTTTGCCTATACTATTCCTTGCCAAGTCAAAAAAGCAGAAAAGTATATTTTTCATTTCTTCCAAAGTTATTCCCATTATTTTATTGGCGCTTTATTGTAATTGTAATTCAAATGTGGTACTTGGAAAAAAAAAACCAGGGGGTATCATATTTTAATTAGTCACCGTGTCAAAGGAGAGCTACATTAATTATTGGAAATCACGCCATCCATATGGTTTTAATTTTCACAGCAGGGAACTGACATCTTTTTAAGGTGATACTTTTCAAATTAAAATCAGCCTGGGTATTACTCATACTTGTTTTAGTTTAAGAGTGAGGTGATGTATCTTGTAGTTTTGAAACTGCCCAGCTTTCCTTGGAGTATTTTGGAGTGGAGAGGTACACATGCATTTTAAAAGAGGCCGAGCCATTTGCTTTAACATGATTGAAATTGACAATTTGGCTGCAGAGAATGGAGGATGGGAGGTAGACAATCTTTTTGTCATTAGGATTTGTTATTGAATCTACAGGACAGAGTTTGCCAGAAATTGTTTTTATCTGACAGTCAACCTTATATACATAGCTAAAAAAAAAAGAGGTGAAGGATTGAATTCCCTGAGCATTTGACCTATAACTGCAGCAACACTGGAAGACAGAAGCAGCAAAGTTAACGTGCAGTTATGTTGGCCCACAGGCAATTTTTCCTCACACTGGGTTAATCCATTGGCTTTCCCTGCCCAGTGTTATCTGTTTTGACTGGCAGCAGCTCTCTTGGATCCCAGAAAGGTATCTTTCTCACAACTCTTTGGCAAAGCTGTTTCCCTGTTCCTTATGGGTCTTTCTTACCATCTCTGCTAACATCTTCCTCGCAGGCATTTTTTTTTTAAACCAAGGAACACCTGCTGTCTCTTTTCCAAAGCATCTGTTCATAGCTCTCTGTGAAACTGCTGAGCCTGGTTCCTGGAACTTGGCTCACTGCACTTCTCTGCAGTCAAGGTGGCCTGCTTTCAGCTTAGAACCATGATGTGAATAAGTTGCCCTGTGTTTCATCTTTGATCAGCTTTAATTTAGGGTTTGAGTTTGGTCTGGTCAGATGAGGTTAACTTATTTATTCTAAATATGCAGCACAAGGCTTCTTGAAAATCAACGGACTTAAATTAAGAACATACCTATCAGTTTTTATTACTTGCCCTTATTTGTTTCCACCACCACAAATGCGCTTTTGAAACGATAGAAAGATTATTTAAGAACCTCCAGAAAGATTTTCATGCGGTTGGCAGACTCGTTTTCCAAAGATGGATCTTCCCATTGCTAAAATTGTGTTATGCATAAACAAGATGGAGTTATAAAAAAGCTCAGAGAGAAGTCAGGGTATGTAAAAAGTGTGTGTGTGGGGGAACACTTAAGGAAAAGTATAGGAAACTCTTTACCCAACCTCAAAAGGCCTGAAACTTGCTCAGTGGCTTTAAATGCTGCCTCGTTTTTGGTGGGAAGAGGTGCAAAGAAGAGAAATGTATGGAATAAACGGAAAGAAGGCAAGTTTGGGTGGCTGGAACATCTCACAATACATTATTTTGCTGCAGGTGTCACGTGCCACACTCTGTTTGGGCATGATCTCTACTATTGTGAGCTGCAATTGGCATCATATTCTTTTTACTTTTGAGGCCACAATGATGACCTGCCCCCTGTTGTTTTAATGCATGAATTTCAGTGCAGGATAAAACATGGACTCATTTGCTTTGAAAGAAATAATAAAATGGGTAAGGACACTCAAGGAATGTATGTTCCATCTTTGATGTATTAGGACCATGATGGCAAACCTATGTCACATGTGCCGGAAGTGTCACACAGAGCCATCTCTCCGGGCACACCAGTCATTGCCCATTGCTCTTCTGGGTTCCGGCATGCACATGCATGCCATCTACATGGTCTTCACGCATCCATGCATGCCAGAAACCAGAATACCAGGCGACTGGCACACATGCACATGCCGAAAATGAAAGACCAGCTTCCTGGTGCCCACAAACCTGCCAGGGAATTGCTTTTCCTGTTTCCGGAGCTCCCACATGTGCACAGCAGGGAGCTGTTCTTCCAGTTTCTGGTGCTCCCCCCCCCGCACACGATCCCGTTTCGGCACTTGGTGCCAAAAAGGTTCGCCAACACTATTATTAGGATAATGTGTGGCAAGGGGAAAAACCTAATATGGAGAATTTTCAGAGAACATTCAGCCAAGCAGACATCTTTTGTTCTAGTGCGGTAAGAAAATCATCCCAAAAACTTTCTTGGACAATATCTTTTGAGGAATCTCAGCTTGGCTTTAGTTGGTACCCTTCTAGATGGTGAGAAGGGGGAGAGTTATTGGAAGCCCTGACTTCCTTTCAAAAGATTTGCTGCACCATTATTTGAGATGCCAGTTCTTGCCGGCAGTTATTGTCCCATCTCACAATGCTATGGTGGCAGGACCATCTTTCTTACTAATCTAATGCTTTATTTGCTCCCACGCAAAGTAGCAGTAGAAATGTAGTTGTAGCAACTCATCTTCCTGCACCTTTCCCCCCTTTTTTTCTTGATTTACCTGGATTGGATTGAATTGGGGAGGGAAGGGGGATTGTGATTGTGACATAAAGTACAATCTGGAATCAGTAACATCCAGATGCCCCCTGAAATTTGAAAGGAAGTGAGTTTTTTGTTTTTGTTTTGTGTGAAACTGATGCTGTTCTCATTTCTATGGTGTTCTTTTGATCAGAGTTGTCAGCCTGTCTTTTTGTCCAAAAATACTCAACCCCCCCCACACCCCAATTATGTATCCCAGTGTGAGTTTTCCTTATGATATACTGTATAATGGATCACTTATGAAAGCTGTTGTGCTCGTTTTGAACTGCATGCCTCCAGTCATATAGCAATGATACTCTGTCTCTGAATTGGAGACCATATAAGAAGTCATCTTCTTCATTCACTCTATGACCAGTCTGGTAAATGCTTGTAATTTCTCCCCCTTTTTTCTTTTTTCCTTCTTCTTCCTCTTCCTTTACAAGCCCAGCTTCTAGTGGAAACAGACACATTTGGCAGTCAAGTCCGGATCAAAGGGAGAGAGACAGACTTTTACCTTTGCATGAACAGGAAAGGCAAGCTAGTAGGGAAGGTAAGTGTTTTCTATTAATTCATTTGTAATATGAGTGTTACCGTTAGCAGTGACTGTGAACTCCCATAATGATGTGTTCTGAACTTTGCCTGTCAGCCCCAAATGAAAAGCAGGATTTGAGGAATGTGGAATTCTTCAAGCATTCATGCTTTTACTTAAAAACAGAAAAAAAAAGAAGAAGAAAAAAATCCTAACTCATAAAATTAAGTACTGTGGCTAACCACTGGGGTTTTATTACTGATTTCTCTGCGTACATGCAGGTTTCCATTTTACAGATGCATAAATTGTTAAAAGATGTGCTTCTCTTGTTCTTTCTCCAAAACAATTGGGAGTTTGCATTACGTGATAGAAATCTCTCTTACCTTGGTGGTTTAAACAGGCAGAAACAGAAACAGAAAACTGCAGAAACATGTTAAGATGTTAGACAATGGGGCATCACTCTTAAAATAAGAGAACAGTTTGAAATGAAATGGTATTACAGTCTTTAGATCTTATTGGGGATAGATTTGTGCTTCTTAGATTACCAGAATATTTCATTACCTTTGATCTTCATAAACAAACAGTAGAAGCAATGAAGTATGTGACATTTGCCTATGCCTCTTAGCTGCTAGCTTTAGATTAAAATGAATCAATTACTTTTGAGGGGGGAAGAGTTCCCACCCATGTTCGCTCTGTTGGTTAGTTTGGGTCACATTTTTGGCACGATTGGAGTATGACAAGGCAGGCAACAGGCAAATCCAGACTCTAGATATTTTCAAAAGGATCTTCCCTGCCTCCCTTCCAAAATTAATTCTTACACTGGCATCAGGTTTTTTTTGGGGGGGTGGGGGTTGAGGGTGGTGGGAGACAGTGTGAATTTAGTTTAGAGAAATTAGAGTTATATGTCTAGAAGCCACATTTTCAGATAAAAACCAGGTGCAGAAAGATACATTATTGAGTTTTAAGCAAACTTCTTTGTGTCTTGACTTACAACAGTTCATTTAGTGACTGCTCGATGTTACAACGGCTCTAGAAAAAGTGACGTGACCATTTTTTACACACCCACAACCATTGCAGCATCCCCATGGTCTCATGATCAAAATTCAGGTGCTTGGCAACTGGTTCATATTTATGACAGGTGTAGTGTCCTAGGGTCATGTGATCACCTTTTGTGACCTTCTGACAAGCAAAGTCAATGGGGAAGCCAGATTCACTTAACAACCAAGTTACTAACTGAACAACTGCAGTGAATACCTTAATAGCTGTGGCAGGAAACGTCATAAAATTGGGAAAAAACTACTTAACAAATATCTCACAACATAAATTTGGGGCTCAATTGTGGTCATAAATTGAGCATATATTTTTTTTACTAAAAACTGGCAAGGAACACTTTTATTCACAACAGCAAATTCTTTAATCTGATAAAAGAGGTATTACTAGATCAGGAGACCAGCATTAGCAACAGATATAGTACAGTATAGTGATTACTATAGGATTAGAGATCCAGCTTCAGATCGACATTCAGCCAAGTAGAAATCTTCCAATATTTACTGGATCACAACCTGATCTACTTCGCGAGGATGCTGTAGGGATAGAGAGGAAAAGAAATAAATCCGTATACTGCCCGATTTTCTTGCACAAATGGAAAAATATAAATTAATAAAAATAATAGGAATTATTTGAAACACCGTTTCTATCCTGTTATCCAAACTATTATTAGATTATGATTAATAAAGATTCATACTTTGTTTGATTTACAAAACACCTCATGCATTATAATTCTTCCAACAGTCCTTAAAAATGGATCTATATTGCTACTTATTCCAGTATTTCAGATGGAATTGGGGAAGAATGCCACTAAGAAGGACTTGACTAATGACATGTAACAAGAGTACACGAGAGGTGAAACTTGGATCAGGAACTTCTAAAGTTGCAGTTTTATAAATCACTGGGCTGTACCAGAGCTCCTCTGTCCCAACTGGTGCTATTACCTTACCATCTCTTATTCTTTTATTTTCATATGTAAAACCAGAAAAGAAATATCCATCCTAGGCAAACAGCTGGGCTGCAATAATTGCCTAAAGTCATTGGGAGCCAGGCAGCAAATATATTGAATATATTATGGTTGGCACAGTCAGCCAGATGTTTAGACTGGATTTGGCATTGGTATCCACCTACTGAGTAGGTGGATACCATAGGCATATGTTGTTCTTTGATGGTATTAAAGGTATTATCAGGGGATGCAAGCTGTTCCAAGTGAAACTGCCTTTTACAAAGCACTGATGCTGATTTTGTCAATGCTGATGGTGTTCAAGTGGTGTTCCAGATGTTCTGGGATTGCGTTCAAGGTGCCTGTTAATATTGATATTACCTCTGCTTTCTTTTGCCAGAGTTGTTCTAGTTTATTTGCAGATCTTTGTATTTTGTAATTTTTCTCCAATTTTTTCTATTCTATTTTTCTGTCCCCAAGGTCTACTATATATAGTAATCTTCCCTCCCTCTCCCTCTCCCTCTCCCTCTCCCTCTCCCTCTGTCTCTCTGTCTCTCTCTCTCTCCATACACACACACACACACACACACACACACACACACACACACACACACAC